CTGTCAGTTTTTTCTTAAGTCCGAGATTTAAGTTAGTAAGAGCAATAGCACAATAATCAAAAACTGGCAGCACCAAACTAATCACCAACTGCCTCTTAAGGGCAACACTAAGACAGTTTGTCGACTGACGAATACGATAAAGCGTCCTCGATGCTGAGCTGCAAATTTTTGTAACTTGATTAGTCCACTGCAGCGTGGGGTCAAGAATCATACCCAGGTATTTAAAGTTACTGACATACTCAATATCTTCTCCAGATAACGAGAGTTTTGGCACTACACTCCTATCAAGGACATTGACGTAAAAGGCACTACCTAATAACATCGCTTTGGTTTTTAGAGAGTTCATCTTGAGCATATTCCGGCCGCACCAAAGCTCAACTGTCGCATGATCTTCATTGACTTTAGCAATAGCTTCCCCGAGGTTCCGCAAGTTGAACGAGTAGTATATAACACCATCATCAGCATACAGCAAGCAGCGACAGTGACGTAAGCAACTTGGCAAGTCGTTGATGAACAAGGAGAACAGCAAAGGTTCCAATACACTCTCTTGAGGCACACCAACTATACATTCCTGCCAGGACGACAGTGTGTCGCCATCTCTCACTGCTTGCTTTCGGTCGACAAGATACGTATACATCCAGTGCACAGTATCCAGCGAAAAGCCTAATTGAAAAAGCTTATGCAGCAGTAGCAGGTGATCCACTGAGTCGAATGCCTTTGATAAGTTGAGAAATACAGCAACAGTAACCATTTGCTCATCGATTCCCGCGCGAACGTCATCCACAAGTCTAACTACGGCAGTTTGCGTACCCATGCCAGGCCTGAATCCAGTCTGCTGACGACTTAAGATACTATAATCATCAAGGAATTTAATGACTTGACCCAGAACGACACGCTCACAAACTTTAGACATCCCACAGAGTATAGAAATCGGCTGCATGTCAGTCAAAGAGTGTGGATTACACACTTTAGGTATTGGTGTAACGAGCGAGGAGCGCCACAATCGCGGAAAGCACTTATTTTCTAACGAATATTTGATCAAGTCTGCGATTAACGGAGCTAGTACACCTTTAAAAGTTTTTAACGTTTGAGCCGACAGGTTATCAACACCAACAGCTCTAGAAGTACCAACCGAGAGGTGTTGAGTTACATCAGAGACACTAGCCCGGCCAAACACAAACCATTCATGTCCACGCGAACGATCAACACCAGCCACAACTTCATCAAGAGATGGAAGCTTTCTACCTTCAATGACTGTCACATAGTAGGTATTTAGATCCTCGATATCAAACTTCAGATGCACTCGCGACTTTGCTGCCGACTGTGTTAACCCTAGCCTGTCCATCTCTATCCAAAAGTCTTTTGCTTAGCCAGCCCGAAAAAAGACAGACTGAAGATAGTTACCCTGTCCCTTTTTCCAAAGCAATTGTGCTTGGCGCCGCAAACTAACGTAGCTTTCCCAGGCCAGCTGATGCCCACTCCGCTTGAACCTCCTATAAGATCTATCGCGTTCCCTGCGAATTTCACGCAACTCCTGCGTTATCCATGGAGCTGGAAGATGCTTAGCTGTGAACTGACGAACAGGAACGCACTACCGAGTAACATCTAGGATTATGCTGTTGAGATTATCCAAACGCAGATCCACAGACTGCCGATAGCCATCCGCCAAATCAGCCAGTTCACCCATCCTCTGATCAATAAGCTCAGCCGCAGCATCCACGTCAGCCTCCTTCCACGATAAACACTTGATAAGACGCCTTGCCGGCTTTGGATGTTTGTACTTAAGGCAGATGTAAATCAAATCATGAGATGACAAGAAGGGCTGGCCTGATTGACCCCAAGAGTCGAGCAAAGACAATTGACTGACCGCAAATACATCCATGTGCTTGCTTGAGCAGTGTGATTAGTAGGCTGCATTGGCACAATGCTCATGCCGCTTCTATTAAAGAAGTCCTTCAACCTCAATGTCTTGTCACTACAAGTCTGCAAATCTGCATTGAAATCTCCAAGTACACAAGAAAACTTGTAGTTCGTCATCCTCGCAGAAAAATCATCCTCGAAAAGGCACATGTACCCTGATTTAGGCGGGCGATAGACAACAGCTACTAAAATTTTATGCTGTGACGGACCCCAGACTTCAGCAATCAAGTACTCTGGCAGTATAACCTGACCAGCATCAGCTGAGGAACTAAGCAGACGAACATTGAGTTCCTTTTTTACATACAGCAGCACGCCTCCACCACGCTTGCTATGTCTGTCAACGCGCACCAACAGATAACCCGGTAAGTCCACTTGCTGATCAGCAACAGCATCACAAAGCCATGATTCGACAACACCAATTACATGTTACGGATTAAGTCTAAAAAAGTCACGAAATTCACAAAGATGCGCCATCAGAGATTGAGCATTCAATGAGCAGATATTGAGCACTGGAAATTCAGCACTTCTGTCGGAAACTGATGACGTAAGAGACCCAAATAGTTAGATGGAGAGCTTCTGCAGATCCGTGGACGGCAAGATTTTGATCGGCCGAGAATCTTCAGACTTTCTTATAAAAACCGCAGCATCAGCCATCCAAACGTGCTTACGCTGAACTTAAGGGAAAGTTTGCAGAACACGGTCTCGGAGCTGGTACAGTTGAACTGGCTGGCGGTGATTAACGTAGACTCTATTATCCGCAAGAAAATTATCAATTTCCTTGGCTGTTAAGTTCGGTTTCTTCTTTTTAGCATCTATTAACTTCTTGCAGAAGTCCTTATTGTTGAAGACGATAACGAGCGAACGCGCACCGGCTGAGCCTCTCTCACGCTGGACACCTTTAGCACGAACCCTTTTTCCAACTCGAAAGGCGTCAACCAGAACCCCTGGCTGCAACGGAGTGTCAAACGCCTCAGTAAGGGCAGTAGCAAGCAGCTTAGCGTCATCATTACCAGTCTCTGGCAGTCCGCTCACTATCAGCTGGTTTGAAACTTGTTCGCAGGCAGCGCGCAACAAGACCATCTCATCAGCAATTGAGAGTGCCGCTCTAGCTTCATCAACACGTGACTACTGCATCAAGTCGCTGACCAAGACTTACAACATCAGCATCAGTCTTCTTCTGAGCAGCCTTCACCTCTTTAAGTTCTTCTCGAAGAGTGCCAAAGTCCTCAATCAATTTGTCTACTTTTTGCTCGCAAGTTTTTTGACCTTTATTAATCGCCTCGAGAAGCTTTTTAATAGAGACATCAGTAACGCTGCAGCTCGGACACTCGTCGCGCGTATACGCAATAACATCAAGACATTTACCCTTCAATTTAACACGAAGACATTCATCGTGAAAAGAATGTTTGCAAGATGCGCCCGTAGTAACCGATCCTACAGCGCGCGAAATCACTTTAAAACAAAGAGCGCATGTTACCGGCGGCATGTTGAGAAAGTTAAAAAGTTCACACACAGATGTTCCCACTACTTGATTCTGCAGATAATTTCAACGCAAGTAGATAAATACACGCTTGAGAATTATCTAGGCAGCAGATAACCACAAGCTAACCTTAACTAATACTGAGATAGAATTATTAAAATTACAAGAAAACTCAGCAAAATCCAACAAAGATTAAACGCTTCACTCAAAAACCCGAATTTAGCGAATCAAATAAGTACACCACAAGAATAACTAGCGACTTACAGCACGCAAAATAAATGAGCAGAGAACGGAGCCAAAAACACACGCACACTGTACTATAGCAGATAACAGATTATTAATATTAATAATAATAATAATAATAATAATAATAATAATAATAATAATAATAATAATTTTTCAGACTCAAATTTGAATATTGGTTTAACAACTGCAAGAAATAATCCAATACCAGTGAAGAATGGTACTAGTCACAATAACAACAAGAGACAATTGTTTACAGACAAGCCAGTAGTAAATCTATGTTTTCGCAACAAACCAATGACCCAATCGAATCTACCGAAAAAAATTAAGAGAGCTGAAGTTCCTAAAAATAATCGTGATGTGACTTCCATGTTAAAAGAACGTGGATTCGTATTGGACAACTGTACACTTAATAATTGCGTATTTAATTTAACTTTAAGCACGTGCAATAAGGAAAATAATGCATGAAAAAACTATGTTCATACTTCATTATTTATTATTAATGATACTTATTATAAACAGATATTGTTTGTTGCGTTGTTTGTAACTTAATAATAATTATTAATTTATTTTCGTTTATTTATTAATTTATGTGTTTTTTATTCTCAATTTTCCATTTAAGGATTTAATGATCGTGCAACTAATTGTATATTATTGATAATATATTTTTTTTACGCCCTTCCCGACCAGCAAAACCTCGGCTTCGCCTCGGCTCTGCAAAAGTCGGGCGGCACCACCCCCCCCCCCCCAACGCCCCCGCGTGTTTCCATATTTTCGGATGGGGATCAAGAAAAATAGTATACAACCCATGGCCAAAAAGTTGGATGCTCTAGCGATGCCTCGGCATCTATATTCCACGCACCAGAAAATCCAACTTTCTGGCCTAGGGTCGTAATATACTATTGACACAGTAAGAGGCAACTATTATTCTCAAATGCATTTTATTGTCAGGAGTTTTTATGTTATCAAAATGTGAACTTGTTTGATATTGTTACATTTTCTATAGTTATTTTTTATTTCAATACTAGCTCACTCTGGTGAAGAAGATCCAAATTTTCATCTTTACTATTTGTTTATTTTATGATAAATTTTAAACTACTGCTTTTTCAGTTTGTTATTGCATAATATTGATTTGGTTTTTTTTTTGTGTTATAACTTACTATTTTTTCTTTACTACATACATCAATTTAAGACTGACGTCATCCTCAAAGTTGGCATATTTTTTCTTATTTTATCGCTACATCTGTGCCTTCAGTTTTCTATTGCTTGTCGAAAATTTCTCACAGTTAATAATTAATTTCATTGATCATTCTATATTTTTAATTCATTCTTCTCTGTAAATACTTCATCGAATGTAATGCCTCCGTCAAGAAAGCGTGGTCCATATAAAAAATACTTCCTTCTGGGTAGCGATCATAATGTCCCAAAACGAACGAGAAATTATTGGAAGGCTAGAGAAAAAGCTAAAGAAAACACTCAAGCTAGGTATCAACGTTTTTATTGAAAATTGATTGCTCTGAAGATAATTTTTAATCTTTTATTACTGTTTTTTTTTTTCAGTGATGTAAGAACTGATCATGATGATAATAACTCCATCCGAAATTTAGTACTGGATGTTAGTGTTATGTACTCGAATATAGCTATTTTTATTCCATAAATTGATTATTATCTACTTTAGATATAATTGAATTTTGACTGAGAAATACTTATTTGTCACTCTGTCAAAAAATAATCACGTTTTTTTTTCAATTCATGATAGGTGATTGAAAATATATCTCAAGCCCCAGTCGAATTAGAAACAGTGGATGCAACTAATCATCTCCATGATGTGCTAAGAAATTCAGGTGACACGGATTCGGATAAAAGTAGTTGTGAATCTCATGAAAACTATTCTTCTGAAGCTGAAGTAAGTATTAGAATCTTCATTTAGAAAAATGATTCAAGTACTTGTTAGCATATATTTTAAATAAATATTTTACAGGAAATTCAATTAGATGAAGATCATTATAATTATTGCTACTATTCTGGCAGCACTGACCAAGAATCAGAAGTTTCATCTGAAAGTGGAGATGAAGATCATTCTGATTGCTTCCCGCAAAATATTGACCAGAATGTGAATACCACACCTGGCTCACAATTTAATTCTTCCGAGGAAGCAGACGATATTTATTTTGTAGTTGATGCTAATAGCTTTCAAAACTCAACAAAATACAGTAAAGAAATTTTAATTAGAACGTTACTAATTTGAGCAACTAAGATACGCAAAAATTTAGACAATGAAGTTGTTACGCACATAACTGAATTAATTGATGCAATAGCCGATGAACCACTTAATTTTACTTCAACTTATTATCTCAAAGAAATAGTCAATGAACATTCAGTACCAATTGAAATCCATCATGTTTGCCCTTCATGTTCAACTTATATTGGATTAGAATCAATAGTTAGTGACGACAATGTTAACATGGACGATGTTCCAGGCCAGGTTTTGTATTATGATAAATGTGAACTAAATATAAATTGTTCTGATAATAAACATTCTGGTAATATTAGGTAGATTTCATAAAATCTATCTATTGCATTAGCCCTTGTGAATCTGAATCAGAATCAGACAAGCAGACAACACAACGCGGCTTGTGGACACGATAACTCCCACAATTCTTAATGAATCTTTATGAAACTTGGTAGATTTATTCTATAGACAATTAGCTTGGATGAGTTCAAAAGTGAGCTGAATCTGTCAAATAGTTTAGAAATGGCAGCCATTTGAAATTTTCAAAAATCTAAAAAATCACTGTATTTTAAAATTTGTCCGCCGATTTACTTTTCTCATAAACTTGAGGAATAATAATTATTTATAATATTGTTATCAAAATCATGAATTACATGAAATTTACCTTCCATCTTGGCTGGTGCCGAATGGCCTTTTTTATATCTTTCGGTGAAAAAACAATTGGAAAATTTTTGTAAACATCATCATTTTTCAACGGTGTAACAAGACCAAATTGTTGTGTAACGGACAAATGATTCAGGTAGAATGTGTATAGATAACATATTCGTCAAAACTCATATTGAGAAAATTTCATCTTTTACTTATGCCAATGTATTTACAGATCATTATCCCATTTTTGTATCGCTAGTATTGAACCCTATAAAAATAAAACCGAAAGTAGTCTACTCTATTAATTACAATAAGCCAGCTAAATTAAGTGGTAAATATAACTAGTCAGTGCTTACTGAAATCAAAGACCCTGATGAATTTTTCAAAATACTGATTGACAAAGTTCAAAAGCTCGTTAATGAATCTAAATTTAAGGTAGTTAATACAGTAAACAAACATAATAATAAACCTTGGAGTAACTGGATCACAAATGGTATTATAATTTTGAGTTAAACAAAAGAAACTTTATATAAACTATGGAACTTGAATAGGAATAATGTAAAACTAAAACTAGAATATAAAACATACTGTAAACTATTAAATAAAATTATTGTTCGTGCAAAAACTAGTCATGAAAGAAACTATGTAAATAAAATTTTGAAGACAGCAAAAAGATGTGGCAATATGTCAGTAGTTAAATAGGTAAAAAGGATAAAATAGCGCGAGATATAAAATATTTAATTTGTAACGAAGAGATCATATCAGATCATCAGGCAATTGCTGATGAATTTGTAAATTTCTTCACTAATATTGGAGAAGAGTTAGCCAAAAAAATTAATAAGCAACCTTTAGATATAGATAAAAATGTTAAACATAACCCTAACAGTATCTTCTTGACTCCAACTGACAGTAGTAAGATAGAAAAAATCATCCTTGAATTGGAGGATAAGTCAGGAGGCGTAGATGGTATTAGTAGTAAGGTGCTAAAGATAATTGCCAAAGATATTAGTTTACCACTTGAAAATATTTTCAATGTTTGTATTAATGATGCAATATGGCGGCCCACTGCGTTGAAAAAAGCTTATATAATTCCTATTTATAAAACAGGCTATAAATCTTTGACTAACAATAATAGGCCTATCTCATTAATATCAAACCTTGCTAAAATTTTTGAAAAAATAATCTACAATAGATTATATGATTTTTGTAATGATAATAGATTAATTTGTAACAATCAATTTGGTTTTATGAAGAATAGAGGTACTGATGATGTCCTGTCCATCACCTCAGATTTTGTATATAAGAATATTGATAATAATAGACCAACTGTATTAGATTTTTTGGATCTTGCCAAGGCTTTTGATACGGTAAATCATACAATACTGTTAGATAAGCTTTGGAGGCGTGGTATTAGGGGTATTTCTCACCTATTAATTAAAAATTATTTAAGTAAAAGAGAGCAATGTGTCAAAGTCAATAACTGTATTAGTGAAACAACGCATGTAAAAGTTGGTGTACCGCAAGGAACAATTCTGGGCCCTCTGTTGTTGATTTTATATATAAATGACATTTTCTATACATTGCCGGAGAATTCTCTAGTTGCTTATGCAGACGATACGGCAATTCTATGTTCAGGAAATAGCTGGATTGAAATTAGTTCAATCCTGAATAATTGGCTAGAAATACTTGATGTTTGGTTGCGAGATAATCAACTCTCGCTTAACATAGATAAGTCGACATATATTACTTTTGGTAGTTATAGAGATAGTGTTCCTGTCAATTATACACTAAAAATAAAGAGTAGAGAGCTTCTTAGAGTAGAATACTGTAAATATCTAGGATTGTTTTTTGATGCTCAAATGAAATGGAATATACATGTGAATGAATTGACCAAAAAATTAAGATACTTTGTTTTTCTCTTTTACAAACTTACCAAATGTGTTAACATTACTGCACTAAAAAGTATGTACAATAGACTCTTTGAAAGTATCATAAATTATCGGATAATTCCTTGGGGTGGTGCTTATAATAACGCCATTAAGCCATAAACATTCAAAACTATATGTTGAAATATTTTGAAGGTCATGGTGTTTTACATCTACCGCTTGATATTAAGAAAACTTTTATTGTAAAAACCCTGATGCGTTACTATCAAGAGTGTAAAGATCAATACAATGCTAAAGAAACTAGAACTAGATTTAAGCCGATATTTCTCCCTAAAATTAATAAAAGGATTAGCGTAAAGAACGCTTACTATGTCGTAATAAAATATTTTAACCTTTTACCTAATAATCTTAAGATATTAAATTGTAGTAAAAAACACTAAACTATAAGATAAAAGATTGGATTAAGAATCTGTCATTGTAACAGTACAAGTTCTCAAACTATTTATGTATTTTGTATTTTTATATATATTTTTAAATATTTTGTAAAATTAGGATAATTTATCTAATATCTAGCTCCATGTACAGATGCTTTTGCATCTCTATAGACCTGTATACTAGAAATAAAAAAATAAATAAAATAAAATCATCAAGATTTATCATTTGCTAATAACCGTAGAAAATGTGTTTGTACGCCTTGGAAGATATTCTAGATGGACATCTCTATAAGCAAAAGTTTTCAGATGAAGAATTAAGTGATATGATCAGTATCAATTTCAGTAACGACGGAACTCCATTATTTAAAAGCTCTTTGACATCAATCACACCTATTGTTTATACTATTAATGAGATACATCCTCAAAAGCGACAACAGTATCTTATGTTAGCAAGTTTATATCTAGGTTAATGAAGCAAAGTTGTTACTTACTGAGGGTTTTCATTATAATTATAATGGTTTATACTTTCATAAAAAGTGTAGAATTTTAATGGGTGTATGTGATTCGATTGAAAGACCGGAATTGCGAGGATCAAAAATGTTTCGTGGAGCCTATGGATGTGGCTTATGGAAACATCAAGGTGAAGAAATTGCGAAAGATAATGGTCATGTGCAAGTGTATCCAATCACTGATGACGGCAATGTGTATGGAGAAGGCTTACGTTCTCATGCAGAAACTCTTACTCATGCAAATATTATTGAAAAAGGTATCAAACGTCGGTCAATATGATGCGACCTTCCAAACTTTTACATAATCAAACAGCTTGACGTTGACTAAATGCATTGTGTGCCATTCGGTATTTGCTGGCAATTTTTTAAATTATGGTTTGATTCGAGATATTACGAAAAAGATTTTTATCTTGGAACTACAGTTGATGAAATTGATGAATTGCTTCTTTCGTTTAGGCCATCAATGAACGTTTCAAGAACACCTCGAAGAATTTCAGATCAAGCTCACTTCAAAGCCCATGAACTTGTAATATGGTTGTTGTCTTACAGTTTGGCGGTGCTAAACAAGTTTTTGCCTAGTAAATATGTGTATCACTGGAGTTTATTGGTCGAAGCAATTTCACTTCTACTGAAAACATAAATTTTAGAAACTGAAGTCTACTATTCACGACGATGCTTATTTGAATTTGTCAGAGATATCGAAACACTTTATGGCAAAGAATACTTATCATTTAATGCTCACTTCCCGACAAAAAATATTTCTATATACCCGGGAAAAAAAAATTTAGATCTGCTCTGATCAAATTAGATCAATCCAGATCAAGTTTGATCAAAATGAAATTAAAAAGTAGATATGAATAGATCTGTTCTGATCAAACTAGATCCGATCAAATCAAATTAGACCAATCCAGATCAAGTTTGATCAAATTAAATCAAAAATTAGATATAAATAGATCTGACTTGATTTATGCAGATCTAATTTAATCTGATTATTACGTGGAAAGAAAAGTTTAGATATGATCAGATCAAGGTAGATCAAATTAAATCAAGATTGATAAATATATGTAATCTTAAAGGTGATATAGATGGATCTAATTAGATCTGCTCTGATCAGAGCAGATCTACTTAGGTACGACTTTTTATACTTTATGTTCTAATAAATAGCTCTTACAAATGCATTAACTTTGATCACGTTTTTTTTATTTAATACAAATTATAACCGGATGTTATTGTTTCAATAGAAACTTTGAGTATTCTTCTTTACAATCACCTGCATAAAACCTGGTGTTAAGTAATTTATTTATTTTTAATTAATCATCAAAATTGTTGAAGACCAAGATTTTCAATTTTAAAAAACATAACTCAGAAACTATCAACTTACGGCAAATTTTATAAGAGAAACATCTTAAAATTGCCTAAAATATTGAAAAAAAATATCCAATCTCAAAAAAATTATTTCTCAAATAATTGTTTAAACAAATGGCTATAAGCAATAGATGGCTCGGAATTTTGCAAAAATGACTGCGATATTCGGTTTTAGCGGGTCAAAATACATAAAGTAATCATATTTTGTACACCAACCTCAAAATTTTACGAAAAGATAATACAGCGCCTACACTATTGTCAGAAGAGTAACTCAATCAGGTACTTCTACTAGCTAAATGGTACGCTCGAGGACTGGCATGCAGGAGGACCCAGGTTCGAATCCCCAACATCGCAAAATGTTTTTCAACGATAATTCGACTTTAAATCTCGGAAAAATGACATAAATACATTATTTCTAATTTTCAAGTAGAAATAAAATAAATTTTACTATTATTTTTATTATATAAACTTTTTTATAAATTAATTCTGTTTCAATCGAACCTGATCTGAACAGATCAGATTCGATCTAATCAGATCAAATTTGATCTGGACAGATCTGGCAAAAATGCAGATCTGCTCAGATCTGATGAATTTGATCTGATTTGATTAGAGCAGATCTAAACTTTTTATCCCGGGTAATCATATATAATTGTATATAATCATAAATGATTATATATGGAACCACAAATATAATTATATACAATTATATATTATCATATATAATCATACATGATTATGTATGGGATTGTATATAAGATTATATATAATTATCTGACTATATATGGAGTAATATACAGCCATGCAGGATTATATAGTACCATATACAATAGGGTGGCGCAAAAAAACCGACTATTTTTTTTTTTAGTCTCGAGTGAAAAAATGTTAGTTTTTGATGTTTTAAGGGCCCTCACCAAAGAACAGCTCAAAAAAAAATTTTTAAGAGGTCACTCCAAATTTTTCAAAATTTCAAAAATTGTCAAAAATCGAATTTTTTTTTTTTTTTTTAATTTTTTTTCTCGTTCCGGGATAATTTTATAGACCAAAAAAAAAATAAGTTTCTAAAAGATTCCGTTCAAAATTTAAATTTTGAAAGGTCGCTCATAATTCTTTCTATTTTTCGTGAATTAGTAATATCGCCGACTTTAAGTGTTGGGAGTGGTACGTTGGGGTCTTTTTGGTTTGAAAAAATCTTTTTTGCTCGACGGGCAGAAAGCGTCAAATTTCGGCCCGCTGCGCTAAACGACATTGCCACTTTCTGCCTTCGTCGAGCAAAAAAATAGCAAACACTCCTCGGGAAGTAAATAAGAAAGCCTCAGATCACATGTTTGTTGACCTCGGCTTCGCCTTGGCCAACAATTACATGTGATCTGAGACATTTCTTACTTTACTTCCCTCGGTGTGTAATATACTATAACCTTCGCGGCAAGGTCAAATCTCAACCAAGCTGTTTTCTAAGACCAGCTTGGGATTCGAACCCGCGCCTGGCAGTTGATTAAATAAAATTATTAAATTAAAAAAAAATTATTTTTTCTATGTTGTGCTTGATTTTTAGTTCATCTCGTGATGTATTTTTATCGATTATTGTACTAAATAAACAAAAAAAAATGCATGGAATTTTAATTTGAATAGTATAAGGTCGCTCGAAAAAATCTAAACTAATGCACTAATAAATTGAAAAAAATTATGAGCGACCTTTCAATATTCAAATTTTGAACTGAAATTTTTAGAAACTTATTTTTTTTAGTCTATAAAATTATACTGTAACAAGAAAAAGAATTGAAGAAAAAAAAAATTCGATTTTTGACGATATTTGAAATTTAGAAAAATTTGGAGTGACCTCTTAAAAATTTTTTTTTGAGCTGTCCTTTGGTGAGGGCTCTTAAAGCATCAAAAACTAACATTTTTTCACTCGAGACTAAAAAAAAAAAATTAGAAAAACAGCTCGGTTCACCCTAAAGGCCATCCCTGCAACTTCCCATTCATTTTGTATTTAATAAACGCTTCAAACTACACATTACGTTTTTGAGCTCTTCGAGCTCAAAAATATTGTTTTTGTGTCAATTTGAGCTCTTCGAGCTCAAAACTCTGATGGCAGTTTAGAGACACAATTTTTTGAATTTTCAAACGGCAATAACTTTTGAATGAATGAACCGATTTTCAGGTGATTGGCGGCAATCGACGCAGTTTTTTGAGCTCTATAAAAAAAGTAACTGTTTTAAGCTTTTGATAAAAATTTGATAAAACACGATTTATTCAATTTTCAAACTGCTATAACTTTTGAATGAATGAACCGATTTTCACGCGGTTGGCGGCAATCGACGCAGTTTTTGAAGCTCCATGAAAAATTTTCAACTTTAAATCGATCGAGCCATGAATTTCGAAGTTATTACAAAAAAACTCTTTTTTCGATTTTTTTCGACAACGATATCTCACGAACGCATCAACCGATTCTAACATTCTTGGTGGCGATCGATGGGGGTTTTCAAGGTTAAGAGCTGATTAGATTTTGAGACCGATTGGTTCAGCCAATTCGGAGATATTTAAGAAAAATTAAAAAAAAAAACAACTTTTTTTTTTCACTTTTTTTGCATTTTCTCGAAATTCACTGGTCCGAATCGGTTCAAATTTTCAGGAAATCTAAGTTTGGGCAATCCCTTTCGAATGGCGCCAACCGCGATATTTTTTCCCGGGAACTTAGTAAAAAAAAATTCCATCAAATAAATTTACCAAATGTTAGTAAACATGGAAATTCGAAAAAGAATTTTTTGTAAATATAGAAAAAAAATTCCCTACTTGGAATACTTAAACCTAATTGGGTATTTGCATAATTTTTGTAGCTCGTAACTTTTGATATTTTTAAATACATCATTTTTAAAAATTTTTGAAAAAAAAATATTTTGTTTTTATTCATAAATATTTAAATTATTTAATAAATGAAAGTGCTCCTGAATTATATAAAAGTCACCTGACGTAAAACGTGATGTGATTAGTGTGACGTAGATGTGCTGTCTCTGGCGCGTTTGTTTAAATCTATAATGAGTATAAATAATATTTTACAGCGCTGAAAAAATCCAAAGTAAGTGTGAACAACTTTTAGTTTTATCATATTATATTATTAAGGCCAGACTTTATTGTAAATGATTAAAAGTGAAATCAATTTTCGTGTACTTTTTTTCTAATCTAATGTGAATATTAGTGTGAAGGTTATGAACACGTCAATGTTATTGTACTAGGACTGCTGAGCTGCATCAGTTTGTCAGTGCAGTCAGTCATTATTAATTAATAAAAAATAAATTGCTCAAACGAAAAGTAGATCCTGGTTTTAGTGAAGCAAGATCAGATAATTTACCACGTGTCGATGCATTTATGATTGCAAGCTATCTCGCCACTAACTCTGATTTTGTATCAGCAGAAATAAAAGGAGCAAAAGCTAACCTGTTCATATGTTTTGATGAGCTATTTAAATTAATATTAGTGAGAAATAAACTAATATTGTTTAAAAAAAAAATAAAACAAGTATCTTATGAGTTATTTAATACATTATTATATTTATCTTACTATTTTAGGTTGATTTATTTTGAATTATAGATCTGGGAAAAACTCATATGGAGATGCGGCCATAGAATTTGTACAAGTTAAACTGAATGGACCTGAGTGTACTCTTAAGTGTCTTATTTGTCCTGAACACAGAGTACATAATAAATTTTATACTGTGACTCTAATCCTAAATATAGTTGATAAAGAAATTCTATCGATTAAGTGTTATAATTGTGCTGCATCCTTAGGTAAATAGATTAATTTAGCGATACTCTAGTGATAACTATTACTGTTATTGATTCTTTTATTATTTCCTACACAAACATTCATGGTACATAAGTTACATGATAGGCTAAAGCAAAGTTTTTCAAAATATGAAAATCAGATATAACTTTTTTAACTTTCCGCTAAGAAAATCGAAGATTTTAAAAAATCGGGAAGTAATTGTTTTCACCCCGTTTTGCAAAAATCGAAGTTTCATCAGATCTCGACGTTTAAAGATCACAGGAAGCTTCCCTGACTATCCCCGCGAGGTTGTCACGGTGTGTGTGTGTGTGTGTGTGTGTGTGTGTGTGTGTGTGTGTGTGTGTGTGTGTGTGTGTGTGTGTGTGTGTGTGTGTGTGTGTGTGTGTTGTTTTGATCCCCCATGGTACTGCCGTAAGGCATTTCTTCGCGGGGGAGGAATTAGTTGCCGCTCTTCCTTCTGGTGGCTAAGATGTTATCTTTCTTCTAGTTTCT